CCCGCACTGCCTGCCCCGGGGTCGGACACAAGGGGCTGTCCCGAGGGCCCGAACATAAGCCCCGGCCCCGCCCGCGCGCCGCAGGGGATTGACCCCTGATCTCCCACCTCACAGGGTCAACCCTCAGCTCCTCCGGTCGCACCCGGCGCCAGGCCCCGCCCAAGTACTCCCGGCACCACTGGTAGGCTCGGCGCTCGGCCTCCTGGGACAGCGAAGAGGTGCGCCGCCGGATCGGGGCTGCGTTCGAGCACTTGCACAGCTTCAAGGTGTCGCTAGCCGGGCAGCCCCCGACAGCCCCGCCCCTGGCCACGGCTGTCCCCTCCGCCGCCATGGCTTGGCGTGGGCCCGGCCCCAACGCACGGTTGCGCTCAGCCCTCTTCGGGAGGGCTCGGCTCCTTCCGGCCGCTCTCGGCTCTGCTTCCGGCTAGCCTACGCCTCTCCGCCCGAGCTTGGGTCTCTCCGGCAGTATTCGGATCTCTCCGGTGCCACTCGGTTCTCTCCGTGATCCTGGTCTGGGCACGCCCGCCGCCGTGCCCCGCCCCTGCTCAGATCCAAGGCCAATGGCATCCCTCTCTGGATGGGGCGCGCCCGGACCTCTCCTCGGGGCGTGGCCGCGCAAAACAGAGGCTTCTGTTTGGACCGAGGCCCGGAAGTGAGTAAACGGCTTGAACCAATCAGAAGTGTCGTGAGCCGTTGGGCGCGGAGCACTGCGGCGTATCACGTGGACGAGTCGTGTGGGCGGGGTGTGGGCCCTCGGCCCCCCACCGGGTTAAAAACGCCGTTTGCTCTTGGAAAGTGTCCTTGGGAAGGTGAGGTGAGGGGACCAATGCGCTCGCTGGGCATGGCAGGCCCCTGACATAGCTGCTCCCTTCCTCTCCTCACCCACGGGGTCAGTGTGGCGAGGAAGTGAGTTATTGAGTGGGTGTGACCGGGCCTGGGGGTGAGTAGCATCCCGGGGAAGACAGAGTGTGGTAGCGCATAGGCGGTGCTCAGTGCACGTTTGTTGAGTGGATGAATGAAAGGGGGATGGGTACCTATTGCCATCTGATCATTTCCAATCCTATGCCAAAGCCAAACCCAAACTCCTGCCATCCAGTCGATTCTGACTCATAGCGGCCCCCATGGGTTTCTGAGGCGGTAAATCTTTATAAAGGTCGATTGCCCCCTCTTTCTTCCAAGGAGTGGCTGGTGGGTTTGAACGGCTGACATTTTCTGGTTAGCAGTCAAATGCCTTAGGCATTATGCCACCAGAGCTCCTAGCGACCCTTTGTTGCTAGGTGCCATCCAGTCATCAGACTCATAGCGACCCTAGTACAGCATAACGAAACACTGCCCGGTCCTGTGCCAGCCCCACGATCCTTGCTATACCTGAGCCCATCGTTGGCAGCCACTGTGCCAGTCCATCTTGTTGAGGGCTTTCCTCTTTTTCGTTCTCCCTCCACTTTACCAAGCGTGGTGGCCTTCTCCAAGGAATGGAAGGAGTCTTCTGACAATGTGACCGAAGTAGATGGGATGAAGTATGGCCATTCTCTCTTCCAAGGAGCATTCTGGCTGCACTTTTTCCAGGACAAATCTGTGAGCCCTTTTAGCAGCCCATGGTACTCTTAGCATTCTTCTCCAACAGACAGCTCAAAGCATTAACTCTTCTTCAGTCTTCCTTATTCATTCTCCAGCTCTCACATGCATATGAGGTGATTGAAAATACCATGGTTTGGGTTAGGTGCACCTTAGTCTTCAAGGAGACATCTTTGCTCTTAATTACTTTAAAGAGGTCTTTTGCACCAGATTTGCGCAGTGCAGTATGTCATCTGATGTCTTGACTGCTGCTTCCAATTGGTGTTGATTGTAGAACCAAGTAATATGAAGTCTTTGACAACTTAAATCTTCTGTTTATCGTGATGGTATTTATTGGTCCAGTTGTGAGGATTTTTGTTTTGTTTATATTGAAGTGTATCCATTCTACAGACTGTAGTCTTCAATCTTCATCAATAAGTGCTTCAAATCATGCTCACTTATATCAAGCAAAGTGGTGTTCTCTGCATATCACAGGTTGTTAATTAGCCTTCCTCCAATCCTGATGCCATGTTCTTCTTCATATAATCCAGCTTCTCGGATTATTTTCTCATCATACAAATTGAGTAAGTATGGTGAAAGGACACAACCCTGACACACTCCCTTCTTGATTTTAAACCATGTGGTATCTGTTCCCATGTTCTGTTCGAATGACAGTCTCCTGGTCTGTGTACAGGTTCTTCATGAGTATAATTAAGTGTTCTGGAATTCCCATTCTTCTCAATGTTATCCACAATTTGTTATGATCCACATAAGCGAATCCTTTTGCATAGTCAATAAAACACAAATAAACATCTTTCTGGTATTCTTTGCTTTGAAAGCCAAGGTCCATCTGACATCACTTATGATATTCCTTATTCCATGTCCTCTTCTGAATCCAGCCTGCATTTCTGGAATTTCTCTGTCAATGTACTGCTGCAACCACTTTTTTAATTATCTTCAGTAAGATTTTACTTGTGTGTGATCAGTTATATTGTTCGATAATTTGTACATTCTGTGGGATCACCTTTATTTGGAATGGGTACAAACACAGATAGATCTCTTCCAGTCACTTGGCCAGGTAGCTGTCTTCCAAATCTTTTGGCATAGCCCAGTGACTGCTTCCATTTGTTGAAACATCTCAGTGGGTATTCTGTCAATTCCTGGAGCTCTGTTCTGTGCCAGTTCCTTCAGCGCAGCCGCTACTTGCTTCACTACCATTGGTTCCTGATCATATGCCATCCCCTGAAATAGATGAACATTGACCAATTTTTTGGGGGTACAGTAACTCTGTGTATTCCCTATAAACTAAAACCAAACTCACTGCCATTGAGTCTGATCCGACTCATAGTGACCCATCCTTGGGTTTGCAAGGCAGTATCTCTACGGAAGTAGATTGCCCAACCTTCCTTCTGAGGAGCATCTCGTGGGTTTGAACTGCCAGCCTTCTGGTTAGCAGTCAAGTGCCTTAGGCACTATGCTACCAGAGCTCCTTTGTATTCCCTGTTCTTGTTGTTGTTATGTGCCATCTAGTCGGACTCGACTCATAGCGACCGCTCCTTGGGTTTCCAAGGCAGTATCACTACGGAAGTAGATTGCCCCATCTTCCTTCCGAGGAGGGGCTGGTGGGTTTGAACCACCAGCCTTCTGGTTAGCAGTCAAGTGCCTTAGCCACTGTGCTACGAGAGCTCCCTTGTATTCCCTGTAGGAGGCTGTAAATGTTTAGCAAAGTAGACAGCGTCTTCATTGTCCGGCAGAGCAGCTCGTGGGTTTGAACTGCTGAATTTTTTTTCGTTTTGCAGCCAACTGCTTTGACCAGTGTGCCGTTGGGGCCCTTCTCAAGTGACCCTCAGGTACCCTAAACCCCTAATCACCCGGAGCTATGATTTTCAGTGGAAGTGCACCTCTGCAGGTTGCCTTGACCTTACCTTAGGCTGGAAGAGGGTGCTCCACCTTCATGTTCCACTCACCACCCTCGTAGTCTGCAGACCTGGAACCAGAATCAGGTCCCAGCATGCTGCAGGGGTCCGACTATGAAACAAGACACAGAGAAGACCCAGTCTGGAGAAGACACCTCCCGGACTGCATCCTGGCTCCGTGGCACACAGCCACACTGTGTGCTATATGACTCACTCACACTGACAGCATCCCACTGGAAGTGTGAGCCACCAACATTTGTGCTTTCTGCCCCAGGCTGGAGTGGCAACCAAATGACTTGACCCACAGGAATCTGTGGAAGGGCTTGTCCGACCATATGTTCTTTTTTTTTTCTTCTAATATTTTTGTGTGATTTAGGTGAATGTTTACAGAGCAAATTGGTTTTCCATTTAACAATTTGCACTCATTTTGTTTGGGGACATTGCTTGCAGTGCCAACAGTGTAACAACCATTCTTCCCACTTCCTCCATGTGGTTCCCATTTCCCTTTGTCCTTCTTTCCTGTCCCTTCCTATTTTCTGAGCCTTATCTCTGGGCAAATGCTCCCTTTTGATCTCATATGGTTGTTCTATGCAGTTAGTACCTCCCTGGTGTTATTGTTCACCTTATAGGCCTGTCTTTTGTTTGGCTGAAAGTTAAGCCATGGGAGTGAAAGGGCCATGGCATTCTTAGGGGATAAGTATATGGGCAGCTGACTGGAGTAGAAGGCTGAGGTCAGTTGCTGCAGAAATCTATGATCCTTCACTCTGTATTTAAATGTGAGCCAGTCCTTGCCCCAGAGCCCATTGATGGAGGCCAGATCCCTTTAAGGAAGGATCCTGCAATGCCACCACAAATATATACAACAACTATCCTACCAATCCTCCCTCCCCTGAAGAGACCTAGAGCCATTGAACAGTATAGCTATCCTACGTTTCAATGGCAGTTAGATACAGAGTCTGCGTTGACATTCCTACCAAGGTACGTGAAATATCTCAGCTCTTTGTTAGACTGGGGGCTTATGGAAGCCAAATGATGAACAGAATCCTAGCCCAAGTCCTGTGTTTACTTCTCTGGGCCCCAGTGCCTACGTGGATAGTCATATCTAGCAGCTGGGAGGGCCTACACATTGACCCCTGACTTGTGAACTAAAAAGCATTATTGTTTTGGTTACCTAGTGCTGCTCTGACAAGAATATACCACAAATGGGATGGTCTTAACAAACAGGAGTTTATTCTCACAGTTTGGAGGCTTTAAAGCCAAGTTCAAAATGCCAGGCTCTAGGGACTGGGTGAAAGCCCCTCCACCTTGGGCTTCAGCTCTGCCTCCAGCTCCAGCCTCCTGAAGCTACAGGCATCTCTTCACTCAGGCAGCTACTGCCTGCTGAGGCTAACAAGCCCAGGGTCGACAAATAAAATGGCACAGTCCTAATGTTACCAAACCACACGGCAGACCATTAATTCAAGTCCATTGTAAGTCCCAAGGTCGGCAGAGCATGGCAGGCTATTGAACAACGACATGGCTACATGCTGGGTCCAAGCGTGCCATAAGCTAGAGACCATTCCCCAAGCTTCTCCTTATGTACAGGAAGCGGACCACATACCCAAAGGCAGCTACTCAGCTGCTCCCAGTAGATTCCACCATGGAGTTGATTACCAGACTCATCATGGGGAATACTTCAGCCAGCTGCCCAGCCACTCAACCAGGCCCAGACAAGTTGACACACAAACTTAACTACCACAATTATGGTAAGTAGGGCAAAGTGGAAGTGTCCAAACCTCTTTACCCCACTCTCACCTCCACCAGGAAACAGGATGCAAATCAGAAACAATACTGCATTTCAGGTTGCTACAGTTTTTATGACTCTCACACAGTGATTGGGTGGGGCTGTGCAAACAAGGTGCTTGTGGCCCACCAAGGGAATTGAACAGCCTGCCGCTAATACAAATAATGTGTATGGGACCTGTGATAGTTAAGGTGTGTAAGGTGTGTCAACTTTGCTGGGC